AGGGTGTGTGAAGGTCGTGTGTTGGATGGACATGTACGATACATATATGTACGTACAAACATACTTGTACAGAGTATGCCTTTGACCTTTTCCCACCCCACACATATACAACACATACATGTATGTAGGTGTGTAGATACATGTCCGAGGATGTATCATCACATCACCAGGAGGCTGTGGTGGATTTGGAGAGGCTGCAGTGCGAGTGCAGTGGATGAGAGAGAGGAGACACACTCTGCGAACACACACACACACATACACACACACACACCAGCCCATCCCCACTACCACGACGATCCACCTGCAGCTGACTCGATGCGACTCGCTGCAGCTCTTGTGCAGGGGATAGCAGGGACACCAGGGACAGACGGTATGGATAGCAGGGACAGTATGGATAACAGGGACAGCATGGACAACAGGGACAACAGGGATGATAAAAACGGAGCAGGGAGCATCTGCCCATACGTCTACTCCTTCTGGCGCGTTGCCTTCACTGGCCGGCTTCACACGATATTCGAACCTGTCAACGTCCCATCAGTACCTTAGCGGCCACGGTGGCTGTCGACACACCTAAAATGGCAAATCCACTCGAGGCCAGCCTTGTCCTGGCCCGCCCGTACCTTTTGTAAGCTCCCATTCAGACTCGTCTTGGACCATCCCAAGTCCCAATGCAGAGAAGGGCCTAAATACTTTCAACTTGCAGTCGACACGACTCTGCCACACCCGCACACGCACACGCACACACATACGCATACGCACACACACATACACAGCCTACTCTGTACTGTAGGTCTGGGCATGCCCCCCCAGGGATCCGTCGCACCGAACTATCATGATTGCTTCTGGTCATCGAGTTGCAAAGCACCTTTTTGGGCGCTGCACCACTCCGATCTCCGAGGGACAGGCTTGCGTGAACGACATGGCACGTAACCGCATCGCCGTCACGGCGGCGGAGGCAAATCCGACAAGTGGCTTGATGTTGTGAAGGCCTGAGCCACACCGACGGAACCTCCCCCCTCCCCCCCTGGCGGCGGCAGCAGCAGCAGCAGCAGCAGCAGCAGCAACAAAGCAATGCAGAAACAGTGTACATGTACCAGTGTCAGGGAGACAGCTGCCGCAAGCCAAACCGGGCTGGCGGCTGGGCAAGAGGAGAGAGGTGTGCGTCGTCGTGTGCGTCGTGTGCCTGTGTGCCTGTGTGCCTGTGTGCCTGTGTGTGTGTGTGCCTGTGTGTGCCGAATCTTTCCAGCACCCAGGAGAGTCTTGACAAAAGGCGTCACCCCGATGTGACACAGAAATAGACTGCACTGTTTTGCGGCGGGTGATCGACAGTGGTGCCTCATGCTCACCACGAGCAGACAGACCCTGGAGTTTTGCCTTTGAATGGCCTCTTGACTCGCCAAAAGTTTCTCTCAAACGGCGGGCTTACTACTCACACGGCACACACTAGTACTGTATCTACCTACTCTGTACTGTATCGCGCTACGTGTAGAGGTTCGTTGGGTGTTTGAGATGGGTGTTGAAAGTTTCCATGTTTCGCACTTGGATACATGGTAGTGTGTGTGTACATGACCCGGCCGTCACGCTGGAGACAGACAGCTGGAGACATCTGAAGACATGCAAAGACATCCAACGTCATCCAACGTCAAGGGCGAAACACGTGCCCGTGTGGACAATAGAAGACGACATATTGACCATCTATCCCATTCTACGGCCGCTCCTGACGGGCGACTGACGTTGGCGTGTGGGTGGGTAGCAGCTCGGGAGGAGGGGGGACTGGGGAGAAAGGAAGGCCGAGAGTTTAGAGGGCAGGGCAGGGCAGGGCAGGGCAGAGCAAGACAGGACAAGACAGGACAGGACAGGGCAAAGCCAGCAGTCGAGGTTGGAAGAGAAGACAGAGCCATGTATGATTGGCACAGGGTTTGTGCAACATTGCCCGTGCCGACGGCCGATAGATCTACAACTATGGCGATTCGAGATTTGCACCAGACGTTATTAAGCCATAATGGATAAATGCATAAGCTATGTACTGTAGATGCTAGATGCGCCCGCCTCATGCGCCCCCAGATACCGCCAAATACCGCCAGACACGGCCAGACACGACCAGATACCGCCAGATACCGCCAGATACCGCCAGACATGGTGCTGTTGGCGACTTGGTAACAAGTGTGTATAACACGGTGCTGTTGGCGACTTCTTGGTGATAATTAGTGTATAACACGGTGCCTGTTGGCGACTTGTTGGCAATAATTAGTATAGATGTATAGTAATCAGTGTACATGGTGCTTCAATTGGCGTGACCCGCCAAAACATTGCCCGCGCAGCCAAACTACTAGAGGTGCCGTCTCGTCTCGTCTCGTCTCGTCTCGTCTTTCTCGAGTCTCTCCACAGTACCCTTCATCTCATCTCGTTTCTCGAATCGGTCCAATTAGACACGGTATAGGTATTATTTACACATGAACACGGG